TCTAAAGTTCAAAACTCACATTATCATCCTATTATTTATAGAGACGCCCATGATAGAATTATTGGCACTGCGCCACATTGCATTTCACTGCAATTTAGTTTTTTATTTGGCCTTTTTTATACCCATTGAACCACCCAACTCTGGGTATAATGGCTTGTTGAAATGTATATAACACGCAAGAGGATCCGTGGCACACCCTATCAAGCACTCCATATGTGTATATACCTGACGACCGGAGTCGATAGAGCCCTTTCCTACTTGCATTATGTCATTACATAAGATATATGTAAGAGCTAGACAATTACAAATTTGTTGCAGTTCGATATATATATATATATATTTTTTTTGTTAATTTTTTTTTTTTTTTTTTTCGTTAAAAACCCTGATCTAAAGCAATTATAAAGTAACTTCTACATCTTTAGAGGTTGGATCTGAAACTTTTACATATAAACCTATGTATATGAATTTAATATATGTAATTTGAAATTCTCACTCCCTTCCCTCCAAGCGCCAAAAGAAATGTATTTCATATACTAGAGACTTGTGCTTTGGCAAGTATACACTTGTTGTTATGAATATTGACCATCTACCAGAAAGTTATAAAACAATTAAAAAGTAAAGTTCCCATAGTAAACCTTCTTCTGTTTGCAGAAAAAACTCGAAGAATAATTGAAATTTGAATTCCTCGAAAGGTTCAGGGGATTTCGTAGTCGTGGAGTCTCTATATGTCTTATTTGTTCCCTTAGTTTCTTCTTTTTTTTTGTCGATTCGGCAAGTCTGTATTAATGGATTGCAGTTTGCGATTCCCAATTATGATATGAGCAAATAGTTTTGATTCGATATTTGTAAATAGCTTTGCAGCTGCCATGGCAGTTCGACCCACGCTCCTTGCGGCATCCGCACAATAAAGTTCTATGGGAGGGGTGGGGGGAAGAGAAAAGCGTAATTTATGGGCCATACGTGGCGCGCATTTATTACGTGGCCAGCGGTGTACGGAGCAGCCGTCCTGTCAGGTTTTGGCTTTTAATGTGCATAATTAAGCATTAATTACACTCACGTCCTGTTGGATCTGTCGCTCCTTCTCTCTCTCTCTCTTTCGTCTCTCTCGGCCTATTTCGGTCGCTCGCATTGGCTTTTTCATTGTTTGCTTTTACAGCGCGCATTTATCTCTTTCCCAGACGGCACAGATCTATCTGCTGGCCCTTCTCTCTCCCTTTCGCTGTTGCTCCCTCTCCCTCCTCCTCTGTTGCTTGCTTTCGCTATGGTCATTTAACCAATGACCATTTGAGCAGCGCTGACTGCACCACAATCAGCATTACCGCATTGGCAAACCATTTGCACAGTTTAAGCGTTTAATTGCAAATTTATTATGCTTATTTTGTGGGCAACACAATGACCATTCCGTAATTGATTGAGCTGCTGCCCATATCGGCATATTGGCCAGAAAGCGAAAGTGGCCATAAGCTCCAGCCGAACCCAGCCCCAGCGCTGATACGAGTGACAGATGTGCATTTGTCATGGCCTAATGACCTTTATGTGTTTGAAATATGGCAGCGCATTAAAAGAGAGAAAATATTATTGATATTGTATTATCTGCTGTCCCACAATGATGCCGATACGAGATGATAAAATGAAGCTATTATATATACTGTATGTTAATATTAATATCAGGCGTCATTAAGGTTTCTTTGTTTAAAGATGTGCGTTTAAATAACTCAAAAATTCATTTTATTCATGCAGTTAATTATTGTTATTTTTTTCAATTTTTGGTAATATTCAGATAGTCTCTTCCTCTCACTTGATTCTACTCATGTGGTAGACTTAACTCATTGATTTAATAATCTACCCTTATAGACTTTTTGAATGCCTCCTCGGCTTCTCTCTTTCTCGCCCTCACATTCTTAATCTTATCTTATTGAGGTCCTACTGTGGACAATGTCCCCATTTCTCAGATATCCAAGCAATGCATTACAATGGCTGACAGACAAACATATCCGAGTGCAAGGCAAACGGACGTAAATTCTTTTTTGTTAAGGCTGCGGCACAGAGGCTGGCTAAAATAATGGAAGTAAAGCAGCCATCCACTGACCGTTTCTGGCTCCAGGCTTGAAGATATTCTACCTGTGCGCAGTACAGGCAGCACGTCTTGTATTGTATACACATATTTAACTACATTTGATATTATTGACGCCATCATCAACCATTTTATAATTGTACATATATTTCTTATCCATATGTATGGGTTAGGTATGTTAGGTCGGTTCAGAGTACCTGATAGTATGTCACGTCCACATTGAATGTATAGGGCTTCTCTGACTTCTTGCATAATTAGTTCAATAATGTCATTTTTCAGGATTGCTCTTCTAACACTTGATACTTCATCTTTTTACGACTTTTCAACTGATTTCGTTCAGACTTTTTTATTCGCCAAAGCCTCATAGAATATTCATGCTTCATATATAGTCTCTCTTTTTCTCTCACTCCCTCTATTCATATCTATTTTCTTTTCTTTTGTAAGAGAAAGAAAAATCATGTCCATTGCCACAAGTAATTTAAAATGTTGCGCTCCAATTCGCCTTCGGGCAGAGCGATGTCTTTTTCTGCTTTTGCTTCTGCTTCTGCTTCTGTTTCTGTTTTATTTCTGTTTGTTTTTTAGTGGCTCAACGAAATTGTCACACGCTGCCGCAGTGGCTGCTGCCCACTGCCACGCCCACTCTGTCACATACGCTGCAGCGCCTTTGAAGTTATAGCCGCAGCGCAGCGGCTGCTCTTGGCTGCGGTTTTCCGTCTGTTTTCATCCACATCTTCTCGGCCCACCTTCCCCATTCGGTCGCCCTCTCCCTCTCCCACTCTTGCTATCAGTTGTCTCAGTCGGCTGCCATTGCTAGGCTTTTATTTGTCTTCAATTAACATTGCAACATGCCACTTGTGCCACATTTCGTGTTTCTTTTTTTATCTCGCCGACTTGTCTTGTTTTCCTGTGTATTTGAGATATTTTCTTTGCTTTCCTTTCTTTGCCATTTGCCTTTTCAATGGCTCCCACAGTGTGTCAGCTTATTTATTAGTTTTATTTTACCTCCCTCCCTCCCTATCTGTTTCTTTCTCCTTCTCTTTCTCTGTCCGTCTTTCGTACTTATTTTTAATTTACAAGTTTCTTCTCTTTCTGACAACGCTCTTGGCTAATGAAAGCCCCAACTACAAAGCATATTTTTGCCTTTTCAACTTTTGCGTTTTTATGCAATGCCGCCAGCGAATAGAGAGGGTTGTGGGCGGAGACGGCAGCGAGGGCAGGGACGCGGGCGGGTGCCTATGGGCAACCTGTTTGAAAACTGTGTCAAATGTAATATTATTACTTATGCTTCAGCTTTTTATTTTCGCTTCTCCGTCTTCTCTCGCCCATTTTTCGCTTATTTCTGTTTATTTGCCCTGCACTTTGTGTAATTGACAAGTTTGTTGCATACTTTTGGGTCGCTTGCCAATAATTGCAAATGGCGCTTTGCGCAGACTTCGAAATTGGCTTTGACTCCGCAGTCCGGAAACTTTGCCCGTGGATTCCTGTTGCCATGAAAGCAATTGAGATTGAAAGATGTTGACGGCTTATAAGTAGAAGACGTTTTTTATGGCCCTAATTAAGTAGAGCACGGCTAAAGTTTTTGTGTGCCAGCTCGAGCGAAGCCAAGAACTGCCCAAGGAATGGTGAATAGCCATTTGTGCATTTTATGACTTAGATGTTCATCTCGGCTGACAAAAACTGGGAATGGCCCCATATATATCTCAATGCAAATCTTTGTTTCGAATAAGTGGCAAGAGAATTTGATTGATTAATTGAGTAACTTTGAATGGGATTGCCCCACTGAATGGGGGATGATTGAATGCAACACTTGTACGTCTTCCATATGACAATTAGAATAAACAAATGCTTTAATTACTCATGTATGTACATATATATGTATGAATATATAAATGTATGTGTTCATCCATGAACATAATACATATATACAATAAGTGGCCAATGTGTGGACTGAGCCCCTGAGCGATATGAATATGTAAGAGACGAATTCCGAGCCTTACAAACTTATCACTAGATTAAGGATTGAGTCTAGGTATAAACATCCTGACTCAGACGAATGAATAAACTAAACGCCATCATGGTCACATATATTTTTTGGTATGTATGTATATATGTATTTGTGTATGTGAATGAGGAATAAACTCATATGGCTTGGTAAAAATTAAGAAATTTATAGTGTATGATATATATTAGGTATCGAATGTTATTTCATATTTTTTTCTCTTTACTAATCGACTTTCAACTCAAGCAGTAAAGTTTTGGTCAGCTCTTTATTTCTCTTTCTTTGACGCTCTCTTTCCATATATTGAACTGGAAGTAAATTTGGCCATATCTAAAATAGTTTTCCACTGCTCTTTGTCTTTGATTTACTTGACAGATAATGTGGAATATTTTTATATTAATTCCAACAGTGTTTAGAATATTATTATATCATTATAATCAATCCATCAATTTATAATATTTATAAATATTCCAATTTCATATAACCCGTATGAATGCTCAGGTTGTTTCTTCTAAGAGCATAGTGCCTACTCCATGCGCTTTTTCCAGCACCTGCCATAATGAACGTATCATATATGAGCAGCGAAAGCGCCCTGCTAATGACATACTTTAGCTCGCACACATGAGCGTTGCTCTAATGCAGCTGCGGGGGCAATTTGTGCCACGCGGCGTATGCTTAATCTGATATTTAAGCTGACGGCAAATGAAAGCAGCTGACGGCAGTGAACCGAGTCTCCAGTCTCCTGCTCAGAGTTGCGAGTGTCGAGTGTCGCGTGCCGGTTGCAATGCAAATGTTTGCGCAATTTGGTGCAATTGTTTCATCTTTTTCTCTCTTTGTTTTTTTTTTGCGAAAGCTCATTAAATGTAAACGACTCAACGCCTTTCAGCACCCTCATTTACTCACTCCCTCTCTCTTTCTCACTTGCAGGTCGCACACACAATGCCAACTATGCGCTATACCACATCGGACAGCCGGCAACGGGAGGCGTAAAGCAGTTCGCCGAGACGGGCAAAACTGAGCTGCTGGACAGCAATGCCGGCGAGCAGCAGCAGCAACAGATGCAGGCACAGGCACGGGCAACCTCAGCGGCAGCAGCAACCGGTGCTGGTAGTGCCGGATCTGCTCCTGCAACGGCCGAGCGCAGCGTGTTTGACGAGTTTAGCCTGCCGGCCATCCAGCTGGGAGCGGGGCGCAGCGAGGCGAAGGTGTTTGTGGACAGCAATCACAGTTTGGTGTCGCTAATGACACGCATTGTGCCCTCGCCGGACTGGTTCATCGGCGTCGACTCGTTTGAGGTGAGACCCCGCAAATCAATTGCGATGCGCTTGACCCAGCATTATTCATTTTTTTCCGGCAGCTCTGCGTGGGCGGCTCCTGGATTGATACGGTGACCGTGGAGCTGGATCCACTCGATGCGGGCACCGACAACGGCTTCACCTTCACCGCACCCAACTGGCCAACGGCGCCCCAGGGCGTCATCTATCGCATCACCTCGCGCTATCCGGCCCATCCGGCGGGCAGCTTTTACTATCCGAAGAGCAAGCGCTTGCCGCCCATCGCCACCTTCCAGTTTATCAAGGTAAGGGAGCTGGACGCGCACAGAGTTAACGCTCTTGAAAAAGCTTAAACAACTTAATTAACTGCAAATTAGCAGTCAAAATGGTGCCCCCGTTTACAGCCATAATGACTTTTCATGTGCGCCCTTCAAGGACTCCACTCCCAGTCCACAACGCAAAAAATCAAAGTGCTAATGAGCCATTAGCATTACAATGGCGTCAAACATGTGTAACGCCGTTGCGTGTGTGGGTTTGTGGGTGTGCTCCGAGGTACCAGACCGTATTCCTGTGGCTGCGTGCTAATGCGCTTTATAAATCAGCTGCCTTCGCCGCGCAGCTGACGCTAAGCAGGCCGAACGAAAAACGCGAGCCAGAAGAATTTGTTCGGCAAAAAAAAAATGAAGGAAATTGTGTTAATTTCATTTAAATGAAATGTTGAAAAGCTGTGACCCCAACAATGAATATTTAATGACTGAATTTGGTTTGCCCTCCTTCGTAGGTGCTGGCCAGACAATCGTATTATGCCATCAGGGTCAAGAGTAGTACAACAAGAATAGAATAGAATAGAATAGAGGAATATAAGTCAAAATATTGAATTTAATTCAATACATGAATATAATAATAAAAAACATGAATATAATAATATTATATATGAATGCATGTATGATTGAAATAATTATTAATGATTTCTTTGACTGTTCAAGCCTTAAAGTTCAAAGGCTTTACTTGGCATGTTTTTTAGGCTGACGAGATCAGTTTCATTAATTTGAATATTCATTAATTTAAGTAATTTGAACTGAAATTCTATATATGTATATACATATATACAAATGATACAAGTTTAAAGTTATTTCATGGCTCTGACTTAATTCGTAGTTAGTATTGAGATTAAAGGCATTGCACACGAGAGGTGATTGGCAGCATTTGATGAGACGAAGAGCAATTTGTCCGTTATGAATGATATCCCTTTAAAGTTTATAGTTTGTATATCATTTACATGTGATTCATTCAATGAATGCCTCATATGTCTCCTAAATGTAAGCAAATACATCAAATTCCGGAACCCTAACGAAATGCAGTTCCCTTAATATAGTCCAGTCAATATTCCGCTGGCTAGCTCGAAGTACTTCATATAACTAGCAAATGGTTCCCATGGTCTCCAATCAATTTCGTAAAATATAACCCAGGCGCAGGCCTATAAATGCAGTCCCCGTAGTGCGCGCCAATTACGGCAATACTTGTATTCAATAAATTATATATAAATCGCCATTACATTACTTAGTTACATTTGGCCACGATCTCGATTGGCCCCCACCAACCAAATGGGGTCTGTCGCATTTCCATGGGCTCCATTGCCATTGGCCTTAATAAGCGTCTATCCATTAGTTGCCGCAAATCGTGGAACCTAAACGTGAAACATTTCAGCACCATCTGAATGCTAAATTTCTTACGGGTGAAAAGGCACCCTCACAAAAAGCCCAGTAACAGTAAAAACGTCTACACAGAGAGTGAGAGTGAGAAAGAGAGAGAGGGAGAGGGCGGCTATTCAGGCATTGTAATTATATTGCTGGACGTACGTTGCTCAGAAAGTGCGGCACTTACACTTCCACCATGCATAAGGAACACTGCACATAGAATCGTACCACTTGCCTCTCGCCTCCCGCTGCTTGTCCCCCTCTCGGTCGGGGGGAACGGACCGGCAGTCGTTGGCGCTCATCAAAATTGCTTTTATGTGCGTCTCTAGGCCGCACATAAAATTTACGCCCAGCCCTCGTCAGGCAGCTGTTTCGACTACGTTTGCATAGTTTGAGCCTTGGGTGTGGGCGTGGCACTTACACTGTACGTGCGGTCATTATTCTTTATTTGCCGGCCAGCCTCAGCGCCAGTTGGCCAAAGCCTCGTTCTTGTGTGGGGAGGCTGTTGTTATTGTCATTGTTGTTGTTGTTGTTGTTGTTGTTGCTGCTGCTGCTATTGTAACGCCTTTTTGACACTACTAATTCTAGTTTTATTTTCTATGGTTGGAGGCGTGGCACTTGTGGGAAGAACTGAAGGCAGTAAAAGTGGCTACTCCTTTGTTTGCCCTAACACCGAGTTTATGGACTATCGCATAGCGTTTGAACTATCAGTGGCTATATCTTCTAATATTTCTATATTTTACACGTAGAAGACGAAATTTATTTTTTTTTTTTAAATGAAAGTGTATTTCCTTGTTTTTTATTTATTTATTCATTTATTGAGTTAATTATTTATTTTTTTAAACATAATGAGCAGAAAATATTTATATTTATATTAGAGTCCTGCTCTTCTTAATTCATATGCTTTTCCAAGACAATTTAGTAGAGACGAAAGGGTATACAATATCCGCTGTTAGTGGTACTCTTGCATTTATTCAGCTTATTTTTGTCTACTTTTGTTTATGGCCAACGAAATGGAAAGTTATTTACTTAGGCGAAATGTGCGTCTGCTTCATTTTATGGCCAAGACATGTGTGAACCGAGCCAAGCTCCAGTTTCGCCCACTGCCCCCTGCTCGCTGCCTGTTGTCCTCTAACCACTGCCTGCTATTCGGTATAATTATGTGTTGATTTGGTTGGGTATTAAATTCTTAAATTCTGTGAAATACAAAAGTGAATGCCAGAAATGCTCTGTGCGCTATTTGCCGCATGCCAAAAGGGCATGAAATCTCGGATTGGAATGGAATGTGTGTGAGGCTAAGACTGAGACTGAGACTGAGACTGCGAGAGCCGAGAGCTGGATTTGGATCTGGGTCTGTTTTTGTAATCCACAAGGAATTTCCCAGTGTGCAGATTATGTCTGTATATGTATATGAGTGTACGTGTGTGTGTGTGTGTGTGTGTGTGTGTGTATTTTAATGCCACAATAGCTAGCTCGAAGTACTTCATATAACTAGCAAATGGTTCCCATGGTCTCCAATCAATTTCGTAAAATATAACCCAGGCGCAGGCCTATAAATGCAGTCCCCGTAGTGCGCGCCAATTACGGCAATACTTGTATTCAATAAATTATATATAAATCGCCATTACATTACTTAGTTACATTTGGCCACGATCTCGATTGGCCCCCACCAACCAAATGGGGTCTGTCGCATTTCCATGGGCTCCATTGCCATTGGCCTTAATAAGCGTCTATCCATTAGTTGCCGCAAATCGTGGAACCTAAACGTGAAACATTTCAGCACCATCTGAATGCTAAATTTCTTACGGGTGAAAAGGCACCCTCACAAAAAGCCCAGTAACAGTAAAAACGTCTACACAGAGAGTGAGAGTGAGAAAGAGAGAGAGGGAGAGGGCGGCTATTCAGGCATTGTAATTATATTGCTGGACGTACGTTGCTCAGAAAGTGCGGCACTTACACTTCCACCATGCATAAGGAACACTGCACATAGAATCGTACCACTTGCCTCTCGCCTCCCGCTGCTTGTCCCCCTCTCGGTCGGGGGGAACGGACCGGCAGTCGTTGGCGCTCATCAAAATTGCTTTTATGTGCGTCTCTAGGCCGCACATAAAATTTACGCCCAGCCCTCGTCAGGCAGCTGTTTCGACTACGTTTGCATAGTTTGAGCCTTGGGTGTGGGCGTGGCACTTACACTGTACGTGCGGTCATTATTCTTTATTTGCCGGCCAGCCTCAGCGCCAGTTGGCCAAAGCCTCGTTCTTGTGTGGGGAGGCTGTTGTTATTGTCATTGTTGTTGTTGTTGTTGTTGTTGTTGCTGCTGCTGCTATTGTAACGCCTTTTTGACACTACTAATTCTAGTTTTATTTTCTATGGTTGGAGGCGTGGCACTTGTGGGAAGAACTGAAGGCAGTAAAAGTGGCTACTCCTTTGTTTGCCCCTAACACCGAGTTTATGGACTATCGCATAGCGTTTGAACTATCAGTGGCTATATCTTCTAATATTTCTATATTTTACACGTAGAAGACGAAATTTATTTTTTTTTTTAAATGAAAGTGTATTTCCTTGTTTTTTATTTATTTATTCATTTATTGAGTTAATTATTTATTTTTTTAAACATAATGAGCAGAAAATATTTATATTTATATTAGAGTCCTGCTCTTCTTAATTCATATGCTTTTCCAAGACAATTTAGTAGAGACGAAAGGGTATACAATATCCGCTGTTAGTGGTACTCTTGCATTTATTCAGCTTATTTTTGTCTACTTTTGTTTATGGCCAACGAAATGGAAAGTTATTTACTTAGGCGAAATGTGCGTCTGCTTCATTTTATGGCCAAGACATGTGTGAACCGAGCCAAGCTCCAGTTTCGCCCACTGCCCCCTGCTCGCTGCCTGTTGTCCTCTAACCACTGCCTGCTATTCGGTATAATTATGTGTTGATTTGGTTGGGTATTAAATTCTTAAATTCTGTGAAATACAAAAGTGAATGCCAGAAATGCTCTGTGCGCTATTTGCCGCATGCCAAAAGGGCATGAAATCTCGGATTGGAATGGAATGTGTGTGAGGCTAAGACTGAGACTGAGACTGAGACTGCGAGAGCCGAGAGCTGGATTTGGATCTGGGTCTGTTTTTGTAATCCACAAGGAATTTCCCAGTGTGCGGATTATGTCTGTATATGTATATGAGTGTACGTGTGTGTGTGTGTGTGTGTGTGTGTGTGTATTTTAATGCCACAAAAGCAACACGCGGCTCTGAGCCGTGCGCTGTCGACGCATTTGCGAAAAGGTAGCCCCTGATAAGCCGCTGCTGGCCCAAAAACTGTGGCAAAAACAGTCAGCCCAGCAACGACAACAATGTGGCAATAACAATGCGAGGCGCTGCTATATAGAAAATGACAGCAGCCCAAACAAATAAATTAAAATGCGCGACAGCGCGCCAGCAAAAGTTTTTTTCCCTCTCCTTCCCTGCTTTCCCTCCGCCAGTCGCTGGCAGACAGACCCAGTAGCCAGGAAGAGCTGCCTCTCTGCCTCTCCGCCTCTTTGGCCTCCTCCCCGACGGGCACACCTGCCGCAACGTCCTATTCTGTGCTGTGTCTGTGTCAATATTTGCCACAAATTGAAATTAGCAGCGCGTTAGCTGCACCTGTACTCATACATACACACACTCATACACACACACAAATACGACTTACACACTCACATACACACTTGGAGCTATTCATGCACCTGTTTTGTATTTAGCTGGAAGCATTTGCTTTGCTCATGCCAGGCACATAATCCGCGTAAATTAATATGCCGCACACACACATGGAGGAGCTCATGTATGTGTGTGTGTGTGTATGTTTAACATTTGCTTTGCCCAGTCTGAAATTCCGTTATTTTCCGCTCTTGCAGCTAAAGGAGTACGAACTGAGCGAAGTATTCAACATTGCCGAGGACGATCGCAAATATGAAACAGTTCAGACCCAAACCCACCTCGACGCCGAGCACAATCACGTGGAGATGAACAACGAGCTCTCAGCCAGCATCGAGCGGGAGAGGCAGCGGGACAGGGACTGGGCACTGCAGACACCGTTCACTGATGAGAGACAGCGCATTCGCTCCCAGCTGCTGGCCAAAATGAACCCCAAGTGAGTAGACTAAGGGAATTCATTATATATTTGAAATTGTAGCTAAGGAAATACTTAAAGTAAATACGGCTGGAAATGTTTAATGTTCCTATATATTCTTAAGCATTGAATATTTACAATTCTGATATCTTAACAAGAGTACGGTAAAGCATAAAAACCCAAACCAAAATAATAAAATATTCCATAATAATTTGTTGTGCATCTCACTCCACATTTCTTAATTTACCAGTGCCTAAAAGAATTTTCACATTAAGCCAATCAATTTAAATGTAGTATATCGACTAATGTGCATAATTAGCTTTAATGGAGTCTCTTGGGGAGCAATCCATAACAATTGAGCTCAAGGCCAGAGCTAATTATAATTATCGGGAAATTGTATATTTAGAACTCAGCTGTTCATGAATGCTGAATAATTACATTGAAGCTAAAAATAGAAAAAGTGGTTTGTTAGTAGATGAAGAGTAAAGAACCAACCAGGCGTATGCGTAATGCCGTGGTTCCCTCAGAAGCGAAAGGCTGCTTCGATTGTCAGTGCTTAAACTTTAAGCTCTGTCAATGCATGTCTATCTACAGATATATATGAATATGTCTGTACATGTGCATAGAGCCAGCCGTAAGCTGCTTAAGCAGCTGCGTGAGGTATGCGCAATGTGAATGACGGAATGCAGCCTGAAAGGCAGGATCCGTCTGCATATCCTTGCCAATGCGAGCCAAACATCAATTTGCCATACTTAACATATGCGTCAGGTGTTTGTCTGCGACGTGGAAAACTGCTTGCAGCACATTTCAAGCAGCTGCCTGCAGCTACAACAACAACAACAACAGCAACTGCAACAGCAACAGCAACAGCAAACAAAAGCTGCTCTCCAGCCCAACACACTTCAAGGCACATTACACTACGCCACTGCAAGAAGGTTGCAAGTGGGCCCAAGACACTGACTGAGAGCGAGGCACGTAGCTGGGCTAATGTTGCAACTTTAAAGAGAACTCGCCCCAATACCAAAGCAGCAGCAAAGGAAGACAAAGAAGGAAAATGCTAGTGTTGAGCGAAAGAGACAGCTAAAGAATACCCTACCATGAGATTTAACAATTCGATAACTCCGGATCAGATTGACTAAAGATAGTTGAGCGAAAGAGCCTCTCGAGTACCCTACCATGAGATAGTTGGATGAGTAAATACGTTTCACAATCCGCATTAGCAAATATATATGCAAGTGCATGAAGTGATGCTGTGATGATGATCTCCTCACGTCTGTTCAGATAAATTTACTCGGTTCCCATTTTATTTAATGGCAGGCCTGGCCTAAGATCAGTTATTGGGTTATATATATAGACAGTCGTCGGCAAAAGGTTTTTTGGTAGAATATAATGTGTGCTTATTCATTTAATATTACTCGGCATATCTGAGTTCTACTAAATTTGTAAACTTTCAATTTATAATATCAATAAAGGTTAATTGGTTGTCATCTGCTTAAAAGCGATTAATTTAGCACGCAGATTCTGATAAGGCTCTTATGTAATGAACTGGCCAGTGCTTAAGTTGTTAATTTCAATTTTATATTAAATTTCATCTAAAATATACAATATTAACAAATATTTTTAGTTAATATATTACTTACAATATATTAGGCAAAAAAAAGAAAACAAAAAAAGCCAAAATTCTCCAAACTGAAATTTAAGAGTTTCGCTAAGAAATATTCGAATTTTATATTGCATTGATAAATTTGCCATCGACTGCACATTAATTAAGTGATATAAGATCCAGCGCAATTTATTTACCGTGGCTCGACAGGGTATACGAATGGGCTCGAAAAACTTAGTACAGGATTTCAACTCGACATAGACAACAGTGTCCTCGACGTGCAGGATGCGAAGCGCGAAGGCGACAACTAATCCAGTGCCACGCCCATCACGATGCATCGTGCAACTGGAGTGGATTTTTGGCACCATTGGCACTGCTAACCTGCATATTTAATGACAAGCCGAAGCCGGAGCTAAGCAGGAGGCGTTGCACGGCTGGAGGGTGGCTGCGTACGTGTCTGAGTGCCAGCTGGCTAAAGTGCCGATGGCCATGCGTGGGCGTGGCTGGCTCGCTTCAACAGCAATTGGCAAGCTGACAAAAGCGCCAACAGCGCCAAAGCAACCAAAGCAGCCAAAGCAATGCCAAGCGCCAAAACCTGCTCGGACAGTGTAATTACTCGCAATCTTATCAATGCCAGCGCGCGCGCCTCCGCTGCTCTGTCTGTCCATAAAAGCCGAGGCACTCGAAAGCCACCCACAGCACTCACTCGACCCAGCTCTCTGCGGCCACAACATGTTCGCATTGGCACCGACTATCACGCTCATTGCTATGAACAGCGCATGCAACATGCAGGGGCAGCAACAGCAGCTGCCGGGACGCATGCAGCAGATGCAGATGCAACGCCAACGCGAGCTGCAGCTGGCGAAAAGTAAGCTCGAAACTTGCAAGAAAAACAGTATTCAATTATTAAAAACATATCAAATCTGCAGCTGAGCGAAAGCAACGGCAGCAGGCAAAGCAGCAGCTGAAAGAAAATACCAAGAAAACACATAGAAAGTGGTACAAGAAACTGTTGAAAGGGCACGAGAAAAAAGAACCCGACATGGAAAATGCAGAAGATAAGACATTGCCAATTAAAGAAGGAAGCGAAAGAAAATTATTCATGCCTGATTAATGATGAAAAAAGATTAAAAAGAATTAATATCGATATAGAAGCTAAGAAGTTCTGTAGCGATAACAATTCTAGAGTCAACACGTAGAGCTTCAATTCAGTTAAGCAGATAATCTAACTGTATCTCAATAGTATTCTATTATTTTAAAAGTAGAGCAATGATATAAAAGCAATTCAAATAATATAGAAATTGAGCAAGTGAAAAATCTGTAAAATATTTATGCGCAGATATAAAGAAACAGAGAAAAATCTTATATTGATTGACTTGGGTTTTACTATATTTAGAAGGTTGTTTTTATAGAAAATAACCAATAAATAACCAAATATACGCAGCACACTAAAACGATAACATCAAGCAAGAGATCCCCAAGAGAAGCAACGAAAATTCCCAGAAAACTCAATTCCACTTCCATTTATATATAACGAACGATATAAGAAAAAAAAATAGAATGCAATATATATAAGACAACCTTAGTTGAACAAAATTATATGTATGAATACAAATAAACGGAAGAGAAAAAATAAAATAAAAATCCATAGTACATTGGAATAGTCAATAATTTATTATAAAAATATCTATCAGTCCATAATGGAGTGAATACCCTCAAGAATATTTTCGCACTTGAATTGCCTTAAGCCCATGACGTCATTAGTTATCAATTATAGTACCTTGGCAGGCGGAGCATATGAAATGAGCCCAGGCATTTGGACAGGTATGAAGTATCTATCAATATCTTATCAGGCCGTAAAGCCTCTGCCTTGTGCGACTAATAAAACTAAGGCAAATGCCTGTGAGTGGCAACAGTAGCCTCAGCAGCGCCCAGCCTAAAGCATCAACAATCCGGGAGATGTCCATACCACCAGCGACACTTGTGGTTATTGGAGCGAGTGCAACCAATGCACAAAGACAGCGCCAAAAACAAGAAGCGAAGAGCAGCAGTTAGACAGATAAGAACTGATCGAAGTACATGGAACGTATATCGAAGTAGTCATATCAAAAATTAATGCAATTTCCAGAGAAAAATGTACAGCAGCAACAGCAGATGAAGCAAGCCAGCAAGGCAGAAGGTGCAGCTGCAGAGAAAATGCCCCAGCAGCCACCAGAGATAAATGCCAAATCAAAAAGCTGCCAAATAAGCTAAAAACTGAAGGCAAAAAATAAACCGAAATCTATTTCAATAAGCCGAAGATTAAATACTCTTATGGAAATGGGGCTAGCGAGTAAATTGATAAGAAATCTATTTTTAGTGGGTTATGTCCAAAAAGAAAAATATAAATATTTAGATTTATATATATGTTATGACTTTTTATATATCAGGCAACCCAGCTATGATAGTAATACTGCAGGTAACCCTTTATGTGAATTTATTAAAAACAAAATAACATTCCAAATAAAAACTTTTTTTATTTCCCGTGGTAAGGTGATATTAAAAGTATTCAATTAGATACATATGTATTAGATATATACATATGTATATATTATTATTTTTAAAGAATTTTGCTGTCGGTTGTTGCTTTTCTGAAAACAACTGCACCAATCCATAAAATGTTTTCTGATTACATCTTCAAATTTACATAGAAATGGTTATTGTTTGCTTTTGATATAGTTATAGGAATGTTATAGTTTGTCAATGAACTGCCATTTCCGCCTTTGTCAGAAACTCAATTGGCGTCGCCAAAAGCGAAATAAATGACAAAATAAAAGCTAGTTTTGGCAACTATCTTATCAGTTAACTAGCCACCATTGGTATGGATTTGTGGCATGAAAATACATTTGCTATGACATAAACATTAGACTATAAATTGTCGGGGTCGCCACTGTGAAATTTTAGTCAGGCAGCGCAGAGAATACCCAACGGACAGCGGACCGCGAGTGCAAGGAATACAATGGAAAATACAACAACAACTATGCGAATTGAAGAAATTAGCTCAGAAAGGATAAGTGGTGCCACGACGATAAATGAAGAGATAGAAATAACCACAATTGAAACACCACAAGGGATACGTGAACATCATCATCGCCATCATCACCACAAACATCATCATCGGCATCATCAGCAGACGAAGGAGGAGGAGGAGGCAACGACTTTGACCATAACTGATGTCAGCGACGAGCAGGAAGTTATGGGAGTTATGGAGCAGCTAGAAGAAGCAGAGGAAGAAGAAGAAGAAGAAGAGCAGCACACGCATCACCATCACCACCACCACCAGCATAAGCATAAGCATAAGCAGGCTACACCACAGTTAAGCTTGCCACCACCACTGCCAGACAGCTCACCGCCATATCTAACGCCCACCGAGGAGGGGGATCAGCTTGTATGGCTAACAGATTTGGATGCTTCGCCACAACAGTCAATGGCATCGGCTGTTCAACCGAATCCACCTGTAATTCAGACACCCTCACCCACCAACTTCAGCCGCAGTCAACCACCAGCCACCCCCTCGCCGACGGGCACTGTGAGGCAAACAGCGTGCATAATTGAGTCCCAGCTGCATCTGTCCGCACCTCCAACACCAGCTGCAACCACTGAGCAGACAGTAGGGCCACTGGATTCGAATACGCCGCCTCAGCAACCGGCGCCAAAAACAGTTCAGCAGCAACCACAACAGGTACCATCCACACCCAACAGTTCGGGGTGGGTGGTGCAGAGACTGGCCGTAGTCAGCACACAACCCACATCAGCAGCAACAGCAGCAGCAACAGCCACAGCAGCAGCAGCAGCAGCAGGAGCGAGTCCACCACTAACACCAGTTACTCCACCAGCGGCAAGTCCATCAAGAGCGGCTGTTAGCCAAATGGAGATTATTACAGTGACGCCGTTGCGAACGGCTGCACCACCTGCACCACCCATGCTGCTCGTCGGCAAGGTATCCGTGGACCACAACGACACACGCAGCAAGAACTACAGAGTTAGCATGGATTCCAGTGCGGCCGCATCGCAGGGCATCAAGAAGCGTTGCTGCTGCGCCATTTGCTAGGCAACAATGCAAATCCAAACTGAGTTGAGTCTGTATAACTATACAAGATTAGATAGAAACAGCCGGAAAATCGAATTACATAAAAACCGTTTTTACGTAATTAACAATATTGTTAATTATGCATATTGCTTAATACGATTACATACGCATATGATTACAAAATCAGGGTATAATAAAAAAAATAAATAAAGAAAACGAATAAAATACATTTCTTACGTAATTTTTGGCATACATAAACTATGTAACATAGTTGAAATCAATTACATTTATATAGCAAAGTAAACAACTGTTAACATAACAGTTACACGATCGTGCATTTTAACAGTGTTGCATTTATATAGTTAACAGAGTTATCAATACGTACATAACATTACGCAGTTAACTTTAAAGGAAATCCGAATGTTCAGAGAAATAACAGTCAAAGCTCTGTTAGGCGCACAGAACTTCCTTCTTCTGTTAGGTGTTAGATTCGAGTGCTCAACTATCGCTATCTCCCTTGCACTACAGCTACTGTTCTGTTAGTCAGAATCTTCGCTTACTTAACATTCAGCTCTCGATTAGAGCAGAGTGGCTTGAGTGGCTCACATTCCATTCGCTGGGGCAGCACAGTCATCGCTTATCGATGACAAAGCCGTCTTATCAGCAGCATGTGAAGTTAAGCCAGCGCCACTGTCGCGCAGCGTCTTATCTAATCGAAGGTGCAAACAAAATCACCGTCGCTGCCAAAGCGTAATTGATAATTAATTAGTTTACCCACTCGTGGGCAACTCCACAGTGAATGACCATTGCGATAAAAACACTTGACGGCATTCAGTCAGCGGTCAGTCAACGGCCGCGGAACTATACTCGAGGATCTGAGCGATGCCGCCACCAGGACGCGGTTACGGGCCCGGCCCAGCGCAACGCCCGCCCCCGCCGGGCTTTCGGCCCGGACCACCGCCACCCGGACGAACGAATGTTAATGTGGATGTCAACATTGGCGCTCGGCCACCGCCCATAGGCGTGGGCATTAACCTTGCTCCGCCGCCGGTCGTTATTGGCGCACCGCCAATTGTTGTCGGCGCTGCCCCACGACCACCCGTCATTGTTGAGAGCTACGGACCGCCAGCACCCGGCCTAGCCACAGCCACGGTCTACACCCAGCCGGAAGTTTGTTGTTGTATCATAATGTAGACCTCTAGTTACGTTCAGCGTGTGTGAATCTGTGTGTAACCCGTAATATCTCCTATATGTATATGTTTCATTTCTATCTATCCTTATGTTATGACTGTGAATAAATTGCTAAGTTTTTGAAGCGCAATTTCGTTGTTGTTATGCAGGAGGGAGTTATATGTATATCTATAGTGTGCTATCTATATATTTACCTAAACTTGAAAAAATATTCCCCCAAAAAAATTGCTTTGACACTGACACTGTTCAAGTAGATTTGTTGACGGATTTGACTAAATCTGAAGCAGGAGAATATCATATAATGAAAACGGAAAGACAAGCGAAACTATTTAAACTAGCTCTCACTGTCAACAGCAAATAATTTCTGAATTTATTTTCATTTATTCCTAATCTACTATTCTATCATTGAAATTCACTTTAGCAACAGCATCAGCATGTAGAACGAATTTTGACTTGTATTAAGAGTTTGCTTATAAATCGATGGAATTGCCTTTATGATTGCGTTAAGTAGCTCACGATATGTAAAGCTGTGTGGCTTACTCCTTAATACACCTACGCCCACAGTGAGAATTACCCATAACAGAGAGAGAGAGAGAGAGAGAGAGAGAGAGAAAGAGATTACGTATTCGCCATGTTGTTGCAAGGTGTTTTGCGCTGTGCGCGTTCTTATTTCAGCACGTCAGCTGTAGACAATTTCAATTTAAATTTGCCTTTTGCAGTTCGCCCGCTGTGCTGAGCGAGGCGGAACGGAACGGGACAGGTCAGTGGAGGGCAGGGTGGGCGGGGCGGTGCGGGGCATGTAAGCAACATTTGCTGTGCCGCCGTCAGGTTCCTTCCTTCCTTCCTTCCTGGTTGGCTTCCGTGTTTTGTTTCCTGCACTTTTCGTTTATTTGCATACACATGCCGCGTGTATGCCGTGCAAAATCGCGCAAATAATAATGAAAAGAAAAAAAAAAGAAGGAATCAAAAGAGCAGGAGGGGGCTTTTGCTCCGCCCCGCAAAAATGCCAAGCAAATTGGCGAAAATATTGAAAACGTGTAGCAACAGACTAAAGAGTCCAACCGAGTCGACAGACTGAAAAGCCTCAGAGCCAAGCGAAGAAAACTGTGCAAAAGCGACGAAAACACTGTCGCGCTGCCAAAGGCCGCAGCTGCCTCGCGACTGCCGACTGCCTGGCGAAAGTAATGAAGAAAATTCCCCAAATTGAAATTACAAACATTACTTTTTTCCTCCAGAGTCAAAAATGTACTCCAGCACAGCGTATGTGTGTGTGTGTGCATATGTGAATGTGTGTGTGCGAGTGTGCTATTAGCAACAATTTGCGCTGATCATATTTATGGCAATTACCGTTAGACGAGCGCCTCAAACTTTAGCAAGTAAATGTTATTTTATGCGCAATTTGGGCTCGTTCACTGTGTCTGCGACAAGCGACCAAAAATATCGCTTAGATCCATCCAGACAACTCTCTAATGATGCCAAGGAATACCCGATTCTACTGTGCACAGTGAGCGGCATTTACCGGATAACAGTTTTTAGCATTGAGTACATAGAAAACCCCAATCAGTCTATTATATTCCAAAGAGGGCTTTCAAGTTCTGCTTCCATCCATCAATTAAAAGTTTATTATAAATATTTTTAAGATTTTTTTTTTTTTTATAAATGTTTCAGGTATTTATTTGCAACACTAACTTCATTATTATTAATATTATTATTATTTCACTTTATTTTAATTTTTTCAAGATTTTTTACTGCGTAATTTTGTCTTTCATTCAATCATTTCATGTAATCATCACCACTCACTCATCGTCATTCAACTCATTCATAACTCATCAACGCAAAGTATCTCATTTATCTACTCAACTTTAATAGCACTTATTTCCACTCCAACTCACCGTCATTTTAGGTATCTTAAGTTCTACGGAATGTGATACTCGAAACTACAAGTCTCTCAAAGAAAAATTAAAAAAAAAAAGAATTTAATTAATGAAATAAATTATTGAAATATCACGTTTGATTGAAATATTTACAAATACATTGAAATATTATAAATTCTGATTAAATATTTTAGTAGACTTCAGACTATATTTATATATTTATATACGTATGAAAAGATATCAATTTATTCAGATTTATTTTCCATCATATTGTTTTTCATATATTAAATAATAGATATTTATTCCTTAATGAAATACATACTATAAGTGTAGCTTATCGATATTATGTATCTTCCATTTAATTAATTTCACATCCGCTTCTGCCTGCTCTCTCGCACTCGCAGCTACAACAACAGCCAACTGCCGGGAGTGGGCAACGTGGTGCCCAAGAATGATAAGCATGCACTGCTGCAGAGCATTGCGAGCAGCTACAGACGCAACGATGCGGCCAACAACAAGAACAACATCACCGGCTACCCGGCAAAGGTCGCAGCTTCGGCTGCGGGTACAGCAGAACGCGTGGGCTCTGGAGCGGGCACTGCATCGGAGTCCGGCGCAGGCTCGACGCGGCGTCGCGCTTCATTGGCGTCGAAGCGGCGTCGCGACTGCCGCGTCAGCCACTGGTCCGAGTGGACGGCCTGCAGCAAGAGCTGCGGCATTGGCGAGATGCATCGATATCGCAAAGTCATCAAGCATGGCAAGCGCGGCGGCCGACCCTGCCCGGCGCTCCAGCAGTCCAAATGGTGTGGCACCGAGCGCAACTGTCACGGGCCGCAGAGCTATTTTAATTGGTAAGTGCCGGGCAATCACCCCATCGTCTCTAAACCCTAGCACCCTGCGCCCCATCCTAGCCCATCCCCACTCATTGCCCAATGTGCTCAATTGTATTCAAATATGCATTTAATTTCTTCCATAATGACTGCAGGTCCGACTCAGACACATGAACGCGCTCTGCCCCAGCTCAGGCCATATATATATAATTTTAATTTAAGGCGTAAGAATTGCTTTTCGTGGACAACAGTGCAGAGAGGAAGGGAGAGACAGAGCGAGAGAGCGAGAAGGAATAAGGCAGTGAGACCAGAGAGACCAGAGAGAGGCAGAGACAAACCCCAACAACTGCTGAGCGATTTTAATTTAAATTTAGATTACGATACGAAATTGAAAATTGATTTTAAAAGTGCACGCAAATGCAGACAGTAACATTTTCGACATATATACATACATATATATAAATGGAAAAATAATGAAAGGGAAAATCATGGAAATTGCATATGAAACCGAAGACTACTGACAATATTAAAAGCAAAAAGGATTTAAAGGAATGGAATCGAGTGAAGCAAGAGAGCTCTCACTCATTTGGCTAACACGAAACAAGAAATGATGAAATCAAGAAAATAAAAAGTCCCAATAGATTGTCGTTAAGTTCTTTAATTCAGTTGCTTAAGCTAATTTTAATGTATAAACAAATCAAGCGAATCTTTCAAATTATGTGTCATATATAAATATATACATATATATATATACATAAATAAACACAAAAGCGAACAACCAAATCTTTATAGTAGACGTACAAATTTAAGATTCAAAGCGACGATGCGAGAGCGGCTTAGTAAATATTAACAAAATACTTCGAATAAAAACAATTAATATACAAAAATTAGTTTTTCATTTATCCGAAATTTTAAGAGATTTTGTAACCCTTACCTTTGGCATTTTATTAAACCGCCCTCGCATATCAAAGTATATTAACTAAAAATCAAATCAAACCAAAAAAAAAAATAAATAAATAAATAAATAAAAATAAAATAAAATAAAAAACAAAGCGTGAACATTTGCGTAACCAAACAAGGTAATAAAAATAAAAAACAACACACACACACACACTCTTACACTATGAAAGTGTGCGTGTGTGTGTAACAGCAATTAAGCTAACATTAGATGTAAACTAAGTTAATTAAACTTTAACAGAATGCAATAACAGAAAAGTAAATGTCAAGCAACTGCAGTCAATGAAAATCTAGCAAATTCAGCTCAAGTAAGCCACAAACAGTTTGGGAGCCGCAAACGAAATACATGTAGAATGAAAAGGTCAACAATTAATTAGAAAAGAAAGCACTTTCATTGGAGATTAGAGACCAAAATAAAAGTAAAGTTTGACAGTCATGTTGATTAACTGACAGTTTGGGAGTCACAGCGTAGGCAATATGAACAAATTTTATCTAAAACTCAGATATCGAAAATTGTGAAACCAACATAGATTGTACGTGAGGTGTCAGCTATATAAGTTTCAAGTCAGGATATTGATTTGATATCATCTCTGATCTACATCTAGCACTTACAGTTCGAGAGTCACACAGTAAGCATTGAAGGGCACAGCTCGAGCTGCATAGATCTTTGGGAATAGCCAACTATTGAACCTACAATTGCCGATAACTGAACAGTTTGAGAAGCCTAGATAGAGTCAGTCAATGAAATGTAATGTAAAAAATACAAATATTCCGTTTGAGCTTAGTTATAAAAGTCGAAGCCGAGTTTGGACAGTTGGACATGCACAGTGCGCGCCACAGTTTGAGTAGCCAATAAAATGTAAAATAAATCCATTTAGACATTAAACAGACATAACAAAAAATGTAAAAACAAAAACCATATATATTGCAAGAACAGGAAAACGAGCGAGTCGTGCAAGTGCATAAAATATTTTGTAAAATACAACAAGCTATAAGAACAAAGCAACAACAATAATTAATAAAACCAATGCATCGTAAACTGTACTTTAAACGTAAACAGCCTTTTTCTTTAAGCGATTGTTTCTCGACTTTATCAAAACAGGTAAAATCAGCTTCAGCATTCCCGACATTATTATGCACAAGCCGGCGAACGCGAATGCAGCCATGAAACCGCCAGTCGTCTCCACCATAACACTGCCCAAGGTGGTGCCCAGGAATACGCCTACCCCCATGACCAGGGCGGTAATGCCAAAGGCGGTCGTCAGCTTCGAGAGGCCCAAATACCGCACATAGATGAGGGCTCGCAACGTGGCATAGACAGCTGAAAAGAGAGAAACGCGAAAAGGTAAAAGGTGTGGACTGCAAGAATGCCGACTGTCTGGGAATACTCTGTTCAGAAGTTTACAAAAAGGGTATACTGGTTGTGTGAAAAGTCCGTTAGTCAATATTAACGAATGAGTATTACGACT